ACATACACAGGGTGCAATGAAGGACCTGTAGGTCAGGAGGGAGAATTGCTCAGGATGGCCAAATTGGGTTATAATGAAGAAAAAAGGTAAAAAGGGAACATCAGGTAGTAAATCCACTCCCTCCAGAGCAAGGTGATGGCAGCTCCAGCCTTGTCTCTAAGGTTGCAGTTTTCAATCCCCTGCGTAGCTATAGAGTTCTGGAGACAAATGAGCAAGTTTGAGCCTTTACAGGTACCTGGTGTGCAGGCACAGAGCAACATTGTGCTATCCCAGGGCTTCCCTAGCTCCAGTGCCTTTGGTCGTCTGCTGTAAAGCACAACAGCACAAGGCACTGAGTCACCCCTCAGTCCCACAGGGGAATGAGGATTAATTAGTTGATTCTGGCACGTTACTTTAAAGAGAGATGCTCCGTTGTCACACGAGCCACAGGCTGTTACTGAGCTTAGGCAAATGCAGCCCTGGCTGCATGTCTGTAATCTCTGGAAGAGTGAGAAAAAGAAACATAGCGGGGCGGCRGGGGAAATTGAATATTCACATTGGGGCGATGCCAATGCTTCTGTCAAAACTAGGACAGTGGCCAGCACAGAGGTTCAGGAGAGCTTCCAGCTGACCAGTGCAGACAGTGATAGAGCCTCAAGGACTGCCAGCCCTCAACAAACATGCAAGGTGTYTCAACAATCCAAGCACAGGGCAGGAGCAAGGCAGGCCGAGTCACAGCGTGGCACTGTCACCCTGTTACTGCAGAGTGAGCACACAGCTAGAGCTTTCACGGGAAGATTGAAAAGCAATACTCCATAGTGATAGAAAATGGGAAAAGCCTCCTTGGCTTGTTTAATGCTAGCTGGGTTTTTTAGGTTTTTTCAGCATGCCTGAGCACAGGGGTTTCAGCTGGCCCTGGCACAGCTCTTTGCAGCGCTGAGAGTGTGTCGGGATCCAGAGGCTCGAGCAGACCCTCCACACCGTAGTTCCCAACGGGAGGTGTTCTCTCTCGTTGTTTTTGTCCTTGCCCCGCCTCGGTGCTCCTTCCCGTGACGAGCAGAGCCCACGGGGCTCTCGCACCCAGCCCGCAGCTGCACCTGGGCCGGCRGCGAGGAGGCAGCCTGCACGTATGTAAAACACGGGCTCTCGTTCACACTCCGCTACTTCCCTCGGCAAAGGAGACAGTGGGGCGGGGCACACGGGCACGGTGCCTTTCCTGGCTCCTCTCAAAATGCCCCAGCGCACGGTAAGCTCCGACGGGATGTGGGATATGACATCGCGGCACGTGTCAGCTCTTGCTGAAGGAGCCTTTGGCAAAGGAAACGTGGCCCAGCATGGGCCGAGAGCCCATGCTACTCAGCTGCCAAGGAGTCTGAGCAAGTCACATCACTTCAGAGTCCCCCGTSCCTGACCTCTCTCTGGTCAGGCACCAGTTCTTCACAGCCAAGAGAGCCCCTCCTGCACAGAGCTGACCCGAGGGGATGCCTTCCTGCCTGGTATCACCGTGCTGTATTAATATTTAACAGGGAGGAAGAGATCCAGAGACTTTGATTTCCCCGCYGGCCAATTCAAGGATAATTGAACTGTGCAGGGAATTTTAGCATTTCAGAGGGTGGTTTCATTCCAGTTCACACCAAAACCCAACCATGCTGCAATGCCTTATAAGGATTGCGGCCCAGTTTCAGGCAGCCTCCCTGCAGCAGTCAGGCTTGTAAGCAGCACAAAACACAGCTGATCTCAGGAGGTGCCAAGCGAGAGGTCCCACCAAACCCTCCCCCACAGAACTTAAACTCTGCTAAAAAGGAGAAAATGGTTTCCTCTGAATGTTTCYGCTCAATTCCAGATTTTTGACCTCAAAGTAATATCAATTTGCCTTCATCACACCCCCTCAGTGAAGGCAGCTCCTGCTGTAGAGGCAGAGCAAGTGAGGCACAGCAAATTTTCACACACGTGCCCAGGGTCATGCAAAAAATCAGCCACRGAGGTGAAACGAATCCAGTGTTGCTGACTCCTGCCTCTGGGCTGTGCCAACTATTGCTTTCTCTTSCGTATAAATCACTTTTCCCCACCAGTGAAGGACAGCTGGCCACTGAATGGAAAGTGGCAGTTGTTCGTCTGCCCAAAGCAACATGGCACACCAGCTTAGGGTGGGAAGTGGAGAACATTCAACATGCAGAGGAGACTGCCAGGGGATGTGGGTCAGCTCAATGGAAACAGCAGCTGGAAAACAGCCAGTGCTCCTGTAAAATAAGACAAGTTAAAAAMCCCACAGGAGGAAGCCTCTCCCTTGCTTTTTGCAGCAGAGCAAAGCTGACCTCTGCCACAGCTCTGCCAGTCAGCTCCAGGCAGCAGAGCAGGAGGCCCTTCTTGTCCACCATTGCTGTGGACAGTGGTCACGAGAGCAGTCAAACAGCTCTTAAGTTTGACCACAGCTCCTAAGCGCCACTGCTGACCTAAGCCAGGCTCTCCCTTCAAACTACGGGTCTTGGCAAAGACATCCAGTTTTAACCAGTCCTATTAGAGGTGGCATTGAATCGAAATGTCTACCACCAATTTCAAGGTTTGGAAGGGACAGATAAATTGCCAGGGTTGGATTTATCTCTGATTTTTGTTCCCAGAACAGAGAGATCTCTTACTATGRGTGCCATATCAGTACACAGACTTTCTCTCCTGTTGGTATAGACTGAGCCTTTCATGTTTTATCATGCTTGAAAGTTGGTGTGATTTAACTGCTGGTACAGCAGAGTCAGTCTTAGAAAACCTGGCGCGGCGGAGAGCTGTAATCCCACCAGGTAACGGCAACCAAGCTGATTTGTGCCAAAATCTCTTACAGATCACTTCTGTAAGCTGTTTGGCTAGTAGGCTGAGGATGTAAGATCTTCAAGGGACTGGATTAAAAGTAATATCCTGTGGGTCAACCTGCCATAGCAGAAGAGACCATATTAAAACCTCATTCAGTTAATCCAAAAAAAAAAAAAAAAAAAAAAA